CTAGGACTATCGTCTCGTAGTGCTGTTATATCGTTAGGGATAGTAGTATCGTTTTACTATCTACGTCGGGTAGGGATGAGCTATTAACGGCTATTAGCTTGTACCCGCTATTTTTCTTCCTCCGGGTTGCGATCCCGTGTCGTTGCACGAATTGGGCTAATATAAACGTTCCGTTAGCTCCGGAGTCGATTATTGCTATTGTTTCGTATCCTTATATAATGCATTTGGTACGTAGGACTGCTACTAAAGTCTATTGAACATTCGTGTTGTTAAGTTCCTATAATCTATTCTTACTAACGGGCTCTCCTAGTTTTTTGTCTCTAGAGCTGCTAGAAGCTCGGGGTCCTTAAGGTAGACTTCCTAACTAAGGGGTCTATCCTTAGGCTATAGTATGATTCTTCCTCGTTCGATACTTGTCGATACTAGTCCTTTAGTCGATAATAACAGTTTACCGAAAACCTGTCCCTTCTACACTAGTAGTAGTAGGAGTCTATAGGCTGTAGCGTGTAACCATTTGTATGACGCAGTCTTGTACTGCTAGATTATCTCTTATTCCGTAATAAGGTCGTTCTGCTAGTTTTCCTATATCGTGTAGATCTCGTCGAATCGCTGTGTAAGCACCTTAACGTAGTCTCGTATGTTCTTACTAATGTAGATCCCGTCTAGGGCGTAATATCCTCTAGATCCGTCGAACTTGCTTCCTATCGGGGGTGTATCTCGTACATAGGGTTGCCCTCCTCCGAGGTTAATTTGTCGATAATCCTAAAATTCCCTCCGTAGGTTGTTAAGTAGCAAGTTAAAGTTGTTTCGATGTAGTCGTCGTTTCCCTTGCACCTTCGGGAAGACTTCCTCGTGTTGTCTAACTATTGTAAGAATTATTCGTCTAATTAGTTCTAGTGCGTCGACACTAAAGTTAAGTGTTTCGTTATCGCTATTATTGTCGTCGTCGGTGTATTCGTATTCTAATAACTCGGGCGTGTCCTCGTAACCGTCCTTAGAGTCTAGTATAACAGGGGTTAGCGCGAAGCTTCCCTAATCGTACATTACGACTAGTTGTCTTAATTCTTCTTCGTCGTCGGATTCCTCCTCCTAAGGTTGTTGTGTTTCTTATAGGGTTGTATCCTCCTACCTGAATAGAGGTAGAGACCTTCCTCGGGCGTAAATGCCGTCGTCTCTATCCTGCTATAGTTGCCGTTGTCGAACTAGCACTAGTTCGAACATAGGGGGCTAATACGCAGCACTATTAGATCCCTATAATTCCGTCGAATTGAACTCTCGACGAGGCTTACTCGGGAACTATCCTAAGTCTGCCTTACTTAAGTAGTAAGTCGTATAGGAGTCGTTGTAACATCCTGTCTAGTATAGTTGTTTATGTTCGTTATCTAGGTCCTTTCCGACGCTTTTTCCGATCTTTATTATCGTGTCGCGGATGACGTAGATGTTATCCGTAGAGACTGTTCCGAGTAGTTCGAGGAACTTGTTCTCCTATTTAATAATTTCGTCCTTACGGTTGGGGTGTCGCTTCTTTATTAAGCCTATCGTATTAGCGATCTCGGATTGCGTTTGTCGTACAGCGTTACCGTTAGCTGATTCTTTACTAACGTGCATTCCTAACTAAATAACGTTAATGGCTTCCTGAATGTGTTCGGCAAATGGATTACGTCGTTCTGTAACGTTGATCTCTATAGCGTTGACCTCCCTAAGATCCGCCTTGTAGTTCTGCTGTAGTTGCACCTTGCGGCTACGGTAGTCTCGTGCGTAGTGTCCTTCCTTTCCGCACGAATAGCACTTTAGTCCCTGCTTCTTGCCCTAGGCGTAGTTCTTGCCCTTAGCTCCTGCTCTATTGAGTTTGCCTCCTCTAAACTTACGTTAAGTAGCGTCGAGTTCTATAGCGTTAGGGTCGCGACGTTGCTATCCTCCGGTC